CTTGAGGCAGGGACGACAGCCCACTTCTCTGAGTGATCCCCCTGCTTTGCAAGGTGAGCAGGAATAATAGCTTCTGGTCTTCTTGGCTTGCCTAAGTGTGGAATCTTTGACCTACAGATGGGGTGGAGCAGGGGCACTTGGGAGAAGCCAGCCAGGGTGAGGAGGAAATCCATATGGGAGGGCAGACCAGCAGTGATGAAACCTGAGCCAGATAACACCTGTGTGGGAGAGTGACCTGGCCCGGGGTGTTAGAACATTCCCAGGCATCAGAACTTGGGTCAGGTTGGGAGGGCTCCGTGTGGCAGGGTGACCCTACATGGAATATTGGAACATAGGCAGGGTGAGGAGAGCATCTACCCAGGTGGCTGGCAGCAGCAGCTTGGCATATGTTTTAAAGTCCAGATGGGACGAGAGAGGCATCCACATGGAGGAGGGAGCAGAGGCAGTGATGGGAGACTGGTTACATGTAGGGGGCTTGGTCACTTAGGTAAAGATATTAAAGATTATGGTACCCAGGCTTCTCACAGAGTTATAATTATAGGTACAGTTGTGGAAAGGGTGGAAATTAGAGGAACTCTGTGGTGTTGGCTTGGAATTGGTAGTATCAGGGTAAACTCTTGGTTTTTCCATATGTATATATGCCTACATACGGAAGTAAATAGAGATGTAAAGTGTGGTAATGTGTGTGCTTGTGCATAATATCCATATGCTTTAGCTCTGTCCACTGAGAGGGCCTGGCAGCAGTAACACTAATGGCAATGAGCATACCTAACACACAGCCATCGGTTTCTAGATATCATTCTTTACTAATAAATGCAAGGGCTTCTGAGTCTAATCCCAAAGAAACAGCTTGCCCAAATTGAGAGAGACTGCTACAAAGTAACTGGCCTATACTCTTCGAAAGTGTCAAGGTCATCAAAGTCGAGGAAAGACTGAGGAACTTGTTCTAGTGTGAAATAGGTGAAAGAAACAGGACAACTACATACAACATGTCCTTTCACCGTAAGGAACATTTTTGGAGTAATCAGTGAAGCTGAGGTCTGAGGAACAGAGGGCAAGTAGTAATATCTCAACCATAATTTTCTGATTTGGGGTAATTTTCAAGAATATCTTTGTGGGAAATACACACTAAATTATTTGGCGTAATGGGGCAGTATTTCTTAAAGTTATTCTAAAAAATTCAAGGAAAAATATTCTTTTTTTTTTTTTTTGAGACAGTCTCGCTCTGTTGCCCAGACTAGAATGCAGTGGTGCAATCTCAGCTCACTGCAACCTCTGCCTTCCGGGTGCAAGCAATTCTCCTGCCTCAGCCTCCCAAGTAGCTGAGACTACAGGCACATGCCACCACACCTAGCTCATTTTTGTATTTGTAGTAGAGACTGGGTTTCGCCATGTTGGCCAGGTGGGTCTCTAACTCCTGACCTCAGGTGATCTGCCCTCCTCAGCCTCCCAAAGTGCTGGGATTACAGGCATGAGCCACCATGCCCAGCCAAGGAAAAATATTATTTGTGCTCTTTTGTACCTTTTCTGTAAGTTTGGCATTGATTCAAAGTAAAAAAATAAAATATTCTAAAAAATATATGGGCCAGGCATGGTGGCAGGCACCTGTCTTACTGACTACCAAAGAGGCTGAGGCAGGAGGATTGTTTGAGCCCAGGAATTCAGGGCTGCAGTGAGCTATGATCACGTCACTGCTCTCTAGCCTGTGTGACAGAGCAAGGTGCTGTCTTAAAAAAATTTTTTTATTAAAACTAAAGTGTTCAATTGTGTTGTATGCTGCTGCACAGTCAAATAGAAGCTCTAAAGAATCCACCTTAAGATAGAACATCAGAGACCATAGCAAGAGCAGTTTGATTTGAGAGTGGAGGCAGAGACCAGAGCTGAGTAGGCTGAGGATGAAACTTGTGACACGTGGAGATGGCAGGTGTAGTCACCTTGGTTTGGAGGTTTAGCTATGAAGAGGAGAGAAGAAGGGCCCGCAGAAGAAGGGAAATTATAGTGAAAGATCTGGAAACAATTACATATACCTGGGAATGTTTGAAAAACAGAAATAGGGAAAGTCTTGGATAAGTTCTCTCTTCGGATATTTGAAAAGTTCTGTCTTTGAATATTTGAAAATCTTTCAAGACAAAGAGATGCTTTATTCTTTATTTTTAGTGGGAAGAACCAGAACCAATGTTTATAGAATGGATTTTAACTCAACACTAGAGAACATTTGAAGCCCAGTGTGGTGGCAGGCATCTGTAGTCCCAGCTACTCAAGAGGCTGAGGCAGGAGGAGCCCCTGAGCCCAAAAGTTTAAGTCCAGCCTAGACAACAAAGTGAGATCCCCATCTCTAAAGACGGAAAGAAAGAAAACATTTGAGCTGTCTAACAGAGGAATCGTCAGTTCCCTTGTGAAAAGTGAGCCTCTTGACACAAAAAGTGGAGAACACGAGGCTGGAAATTCAGCTGTACAGCAAATTCCTGGAAGTGACTCCTCCGTGGACTTAAGAATGCGGATAGGTGGGCCTCCCACACCCACCAGGCACCCACTGCATTCTCAGCCTATTGTTCTATGACTTTAGGAAGTAATGAGCCCTTTCTGAAATCTTGAGTATAGAAGCAAATTACCAGTTCTTGGTGTTCTAGATCTCACTTTTCAGTGTTTTACCTGCCCACTTGTAGAAATTAAGGAAGAAAAGACTCAGTACTCACTGGTACATTTTAGTAGGTTTCTTTGTTGTGTTTATTGTGACTGATTTCATATTTGTCATGATCAGTATCTCATTTGGTTCCTTAAATATTGTTCTAAGTTTGGTTCTCGTGTCCAGAGGTGGGTACATTTCTCTTCATCTACCACATCAATGCAAGGTATATTCACAACACCTCATTATTGGGAACACTGAGCAAGCATGCAGAAAGGGCTGCTTTCACCTTGCAGAATCCTGTTTGCATTAGGCTTGACTTCCTTAGACATTGACACAGGGTCACTGACTGTACAGTAACTGGGGTCAGCTCAGTCATTTTGCGTTTACTTGAGGTCAACCCAGGTCTCAAGATTTCACCACAGAGATTATTCTTGAGGTGATCTATAAACCATCCCTTCCTTAGCTTGGTCTAAATAAGTCCTACCCCTACCCCTTATCTAATGAAATTAGTGTTCATTTTTAGTGTAGTTGAAAGCAGTTATTTTAACTCTTCTCTGTAGATGTCCTCAGATACTGGTTCTCCAGGCCATGGACTTATCTCTGCAAAGCTCACCACTCTTGTCTCTCAAGAGCTAAGTTAACATTCTGGAGTGCCACATACTCAGAAGCACAGACTTGCCCAGAAATATTCTTAGACTCCCTCTTACTCAGATAACAAATACACAACTCCTTAGTTTGAGCATTTAGGGCCTCCTGCCAATAAGTTCATGTTCCTGTCAGGCAGAGCTCTGTGCAACTGCTGTTTCTGTGTTGCCCTTAGGGTCCTGAGAGCCTTGCCTAGAATAATCCTCATGTAATTCCTCCGACAGGAAAGCTGTGCTTTCTTCCATGGCTGTATTCTAAATAACAAAGGCATGATACTACACATAGAGTAGGAATTTGAACACCAAACTGGAATTCTGTGTCCCTGTCTTATTTGACAAAAGTGCACATTATTGGGGAGATGGGGGCGGCATTTTAAAAGGAGCTTGGTATAGCATTAGTAATCGTTAAAAGAAAAGAAAATATCCTTATCTGTGACAGTACAGTAGTTTGTTTCTGTGCACACACATCTGAAATACCATTTGTGTAAAGAGAGAGCGAGCAAGCGAGGGCGCAGCCTGACATTAACAAGGGAGGAGGCGGACAATGAGTACATTAGCGGTTGTTGCACTTTCTGTTTTCTTTATATCCTTTATCTTCAAGTTGCAACCTCCCCCTCATCTAGTTCCTTTAAAAATGTGATACTTAGTGAGTTTTCTTTATATGCCTCTGCCAAGACATTATTGAAGCTTCTTTTTTCCCTCACTGCAACAAAAGGCAGAGAATGATGTTTTGAGTTTTTGAGAGGCATGGCTACTACAACTGTCCAACAGAGGCATAACTAAGAATTGGGTTTTCTTTTTTTTTTTTTTTTTTTTTTGAGGCGGAGTCTCGCTCTGTCGCCCAGGCTGGAGTGCAGTGACCGGATCTCAGCTCACTGCAAGCTCCGCCTCCCGGGTTTACGCCATTCTCCTGCCTCAGCCTCCCGAGTAGCTGGGACTACAGGCGCTCGCCACCGCGCCCTGCTAGTTTTTTGTATTTTTTAGTAGAGACGGGGTTTCACTGGGTTAGCCAGGATGGCCTCGATCTCCTGACCTTGTGATCCACCCGTCTCGGCCTCCCAAAGTGCTGGGATTACAGGCTTGAGCCACCGCGCCCGGCCAAGAATTGGGTTTTCATATTCTGAAAATGAACACTTGAAGTTAAATGTCTTCTGATAATATATCATCTCTAAAAATATATTTTTTAATCCAAGTATTTCTTTAATAGTTTTACCAAGAAAAAATAGAAGTGGTTTTGGTTATGAAAAACTGGATGATATTTTGATAATGTAAGATATCCAGTATATCCCACTTTATTACAATTAACTTTTTTCTACACTATTCAAACGAGGAGTAGAAAGGTAATTTTTTTCAAAATATCCAGAGATAGGTTGTGAAAGAAATAACAGAATTTAAGCCTTTTAACATGTATGTAAAAGACAGTTTTTGCATAATGAAGACAGTTTTCTAAATTCACTACAATATTTTGGGGAGTAATTCTTTGAGTGGTTAGATATTTTAAGTGCATTTGAGAAACAAAATTTAGTAATCAATATATTTAAAATTTATATTATTCTTCCCTATATTTGAACAATTTGTCCAAAATGCAATCTGTTCATATTGAATTTTGCCTGTTCAGATCTAAGTGGGAATCAGTAGTTTCTTTGTTCGTCGCCATGGAAACCAGTCAGCCAATCTGAATGGCTCTTAGATCATACAGAACGAACGATGCAATGCTCCCTGCTCTCAGTGAAAGTTCCTCACTGAGTAAGTGGGGCTGACTCTTCCCTGCCTCTGGCTCTTGCCTTCCAGTGCCATGCAGGTGCAGGATGCAACCAGGCGGCCCTCAGCCGTGCACTTCCTCAGCTCCTTTCTCCAGGGCCGCCGGCACTCCACCTCAGACCCAGTACTTCGGCTGCAGCAGGCCGGGCGGGGCTCTGGCTTGGGCTCCAGCTCTGCCACGAAGCTTCTGTCCTCGTCCTCTCTCCAGGTGATGGTGGCTGTTTCCTCAGTCAACCATGCAGAGGGAAACCCAACTTTCCCTGAAAGAAAACGTAAAGGTCTCTTTCTTCTTATAGATTGCCATACCTTTGTATGTAAGTTTGAGGAATGGGAATCGGCTGTGTTGTGCTTATACCTTTTTAAATATTGGCAGTTTATTCTATATTATACTTTTTGCTGTCTGTTATGCTAAGTATTTTAGTGAATATATAAGAGGATATAAAATGATCAAATGTTTTGTGTTTTTTAATTAAAAATATAGGTTTGAACAAAACTCATTCTCTTGTAAAACATCTGCTTTTACAGTTTCTTCCTCCTAATTGCCAGTATGTGTGGAGATTATTATATGTGAAAGCTGTTTTACATTAAGAGATACATGTCACTTTGACGGGGAAACAGTTTTGTTTTCTTGACAAGATGAAGGCGATTTTGCACTGGCTTGTCATCTGCCATCCTGAGAGAAAACGGAGGCTATTTCCCATGTTACAATTTCATTTGGAGAGTGGAATTTTGAATCTTCCTTTCCTCACATGTTCTAGGAAATTTAGAACGTCCAACACCAAAGTACACAAAAGTCGGAGAGCGCTTACGGCACGTCATTCCTGGACACATGGCGTGTTCCATGGCGTGTGGTGGTAGAGCTTGCAAGTATGAGAATCCAGCCCGCTGGAGTGAGCAGGAACAAGCCATTAAGGGGGTTTACTCATCCTGGTAAGTGATCCTGTTGGTCTTTCATAGCTCTGTTGGATACAGGAAAGACGCTCTGTGTGAGCCAGGAGCCCTGAAGTGTGGGAGGAGCAGTGTGGGACTTTGAAGTCAGGACTTCACTTTGCCAGTCAAGTCTGGCTTTGCCTTAGCTGTGTGTTCTTGGCCTATTGACCCTCAGTTTCTTTATCTGTAAGGTGGAAATAATAAAACCAAAACCACAGGGATTTTTTTAAGTAAGTGAAATGATATATATAAAGTGTATTAAGAAATGGATAATCAGATAGCGCTTAAATTTCAGAAATGTTTAGAAATAATAAAACTGTTCAGCTGTAAATTTGAGAAAATTATGAGATACATGTGGAATTTTTCAGTTTCATACAAGTAAGCTTTAGCTTTTATGTTATTCCTATATTCTATATGAAAAGTCACATTTTCATACAAATACCCTTCAGTCTACCCTAATAAAAGTGGTACAAGTTGTCCGCTCGGTAGAAAACAGAAGATATTTGCTTTTTTTATGGTGTGTAAGTGCAATTAATATTGTTCTTTAATCATACTGCTTTTTAATAAACAGTAAACTAGTCAAATATACCTTTTTGATGTAACATCTGAAAAATTCTGATAAATCACATTTGAAGCATACTTAGAAGAATTCACTGTTAATTCTAATAGTGAATTATTTTATGCATCAAGAACCCATTTTTAAATTAGATATTTGTCAGCTGGCTTATCCAGCTTACAACCTGTACTTTTTCATATTGGATTTCTCAGTACATCTGTAGTGATATAGTCTGGGGTCCACTGTCATTATTGTTCGCCACAGGTCATATTCTGGTCTATCACTATCATACTAATAGTATGAAGAAGGAAACATTCATAGTCCGACAAGAAAATTTCTAATAATATAGCTTAGGTCATTTGTGTATTTTTGCTTTATTGCTGACTAAATCCTGTGAGTCTTTTTCACCTGGGTCCCATGTTAAACCACATGTCTTCTTTCAGAGGGAAAGGTGTCATTTTGGATCCTGTCCTGCCAGTCTGTGTTATTCCCCTGAGATTCATATGACCCACAACTTCCAACGCACTTACCTTATATATCTCATCAGGCTACTGATGAGAAATTTGAACAGAACAGAGTGAAGCCAGAGCCCAGAGGCCTGACAAGAGTAATAGTCATTTATTGGGCGTCTGCCCACTCATTCATTCAGTAAATATCCATTTGGCTGTAGGCCAGTCAGTGTGCTAGATGCTTTCATACTAATATCTTTTATCATCGTAAAACTCTTGTGAGCTGTTAATGCCATTTCATCGATGAAAGAGTTGAGTTCCAGAGAGACCAAGTAATTTGCCACCAAGCTAGAAAGTAGAAAAGCTAGCATTTGAAACCAAGCCCAACTGACTCTGGAACCCATATTTGTCGCCAAATTACAGTAACTCAGTATTTATTTGTAACTGCGTGTCAGGATTTATGCCAAAGGCTTTACATCCACATCATGTTGAATTCTCACACCAACCCTGTGAGACAGGCATTATCATCCCCATTGAACACCTTAGGTAACTAAGATTCAGATAGTTGAATAACTAAAAATATCTCCCAGTTGTCCCTCCTCATATAAGTCACTACCCATTGAGTAACAATCCAGACTGTTACCTTCGCCACCAGCTGGGTTTTCTCCATCGTGTCCACTAGAATCTCTTGAGAGTCCTTGAAAATACTTTGCTGGAATCCACAAATAATTTATGTCCTGGAATTTTTTCCAGGGATTTAAGAAGCTAGAGTTTCTTAGAGCTCTAATCAGCCAAAATTGAAGCCAGATTTGTATAAGAATATTCTTACACGAGTACACCAAAATCTTAGAATTCACCACTAAAGAACTCATCTGTGTAACGAAATCATCTGTACCCAAAAAAACTATCAAAATTTTAAAAATTAACCTAAAGGGAAAAAAAGCAAAGTATCTAACAGTGCCTTTATTACACTACCTTTTGTACAAAAAAAAAAGCAGAGAAATAAGAATAAACATTCATATTTGCTTGTATTTGCAAAAAGAAACACTAAGATGATAAACATGAAGTTAATACAAATGACTACATATGGGGAACAAACTGAATGGAGTGGATAAAAACAGGTAAGAGCAAACATTTTAGTGCATACTTTTGTGTATTGTTTTGATTTTATTGAACCATGAAACTGTGTTACCTGTTCAAATAAAATTTATACACAAAAAAAGAATATTCTAACAGAGTTGTTGAAATCATAGAAAAAAATCATCACTCAGGGCTGGAACATCTCTTTGGGCTGGAACTTCCTAGGTTTCAGACATCTCACCAGTCCCTCCACCCATTTGCAGGGTCACTGATAATATACTGGCCATGGCCCGCCCATCCTCTGAGCTCCTGGAGAAGTACCACATCATTGATCAGTTCCTCAGGTAAATGCTGTATTGTTCACACACGAGTGAGGAAACTCATGTGTTTGTTCTTTCATTGCCTTTGTTTTCAAGTGAAAAAGTGCTTTCATTTTAACAATAGGCAGTGAAGGGTGTATTTCAAATGAGAAATTAAGATTTTGAGAGTAATTAATAATGTTGATTAATGCCAAAAAAGATTATTTTTTTAAAAATGCTAGTTCCCAACATGACTGACTGCCCTTTTTCCTTTAAGCCATGGCATAAAAACAATAATCAACCTCCAGCGCCCTGGTGAGCATGCTAGCTGTGGGAACCCTCTGGAACAAGAAAGTGGCTTCACATACCTTCCTGAGGCTTTCATGGAGGCTGGCAGTAAGTTCCTCCCACCCTCCTCTCGTGAATTATCAAGGGCAGCACTCAGAGACTTTTCTCTGCTGGGGTCTTAAATGAAAAAGGTGATGGAAATGAATACCTCCTGCATAGTAGTAAGGATCAGAAAAAAAATGAGCTACCATTCTCTTTGGTTTTGCTGTTGAAAGTATAGGATTTCTTTGTTCCTGTAAGAGGGATGTTGGGAGGAGACCCTGTAGTAATAATGATTAACGTTTAATTAATGCCAGCCACTATTATCTCATTTAACCCTTAACGCAGTTGTGTAACAAAGTTGTTGTTATTTCTGTTTTACACATGAAGCCACATGGGGCTTACAGTATTACCTACTTGCCTAAGAACACACAGCTTAGAAATGGTAGTCAGGTTTGGAACCTGGACATGCTCCAGGTTTACTGCTGTCCAGCCCTGCTCCCAAAATGATGCCCAGGAATTCTACTTCTAACAATTTCAAAGCCACCTCAATCACAGGAGCTTTGGGATGAAATACATTCAACATGTGTCCTTCAAACCAGGCTGGAAAGGATAAATAATCTTGGAACTTGTTTTTTTTTTTTTTTTTTTTTTTTTTTGAGACGGAGTCTTGCTCTGTCGCCCAGGCTGGAGTGCAGTGGCCAGATCTCGGCTCACTGCAAGCTCCGCCTCCCGGGTTCACGCCATTCTCCTGCCTCAGCCTCCCGAGTAGCTGGGACTACAGGCACCCGCCACCTCGCCCGGCTAGTTTTTTGTATTTTTTAGTAGAGACGGGGTTTCACCGTGTTAGCCAGGATGGTCTCGATCTCCTGACCTCGTGATCCACCCGTCTCTGCCTCCCAAAGTGCTGGGATTACAGGCTTGAGCCACCGCGCCCGGCCGGAACTTGTTTTTAAGACGCTTATTTACAATGGATAGAAAACCTATATATACTGTCTTAAGCTATTTATCAGTCATTAAGACACATTTCCCTGCTTAAACAAGAGTGTATGCTTTCGCTCCATAGCTGAGTAACTAGAGCATGAATCACTGACTTTATTAATTTGTAATTCTACTTCACCATAATTCTTTCTGGCTGAGTTTCTGCAGGAAATGTCCTCAGTAATATAAAATATGCTTTGTGAGTAAATGTGAACGGTAAAGTTACTGGGAATGTAAAATACCTCTTATTTTATGCAGTGTATGCACTGAGATCTACATGCCTCAGTGTAGATCTGTGTACTTTTCATTAGTGTATATACTTTCGTTAATTTCCTGTATGTTGATTTTCTTTTCCTTTTCTTTTTTCTTAGTTTATTTCTACAATTTCGGATGGAAGGATTATGGTGTAGCATCTCTTACTACTATCCTAGATATGGTGAAGGTGATGACATTTGCCTTACAGGAAGGAAAAGTAGCTATCCATTGTCATGCAGGGCTTGGTCGAACAGGTAAGTCCTAAGAGGTGGTTTATTGCCTTGTAGGCGTATTTAAACATAAAAGGAATAAGATTTCCTAATTTGAGGAAAAATGTTTCTCAGAATCTTGTCAAAGCTTTGGAGTCAGGTGGAAGAAGGGAGTAAGTTCTGGTGTTCTGTACCACTGTAGGGTGTCTATAGTTAAAAATTATATATAGTTTCAAATAGCTAGAAGGAGGATGTTGAATGTTCCCAGCACAAATACATGATAAATGTTGGGGATTATGCATATACTAAATACACTGATCTGGTCGCTATACATCATATGTATTAAAACATCACTATATACCCCATAGATAATGTATAATTATTATGTCAACTTTAAAAACTAAATCAAAAATAATTTTAAGGTATTTGAAATACCATAAACAGCTAGTTACAATGACCATATGTATGTCATTTTAAAGTCTTTAGCAACAATGTGAGCTGGAGAAACTGCAATTTGAGAGAAGTAATTTGCTACATGTAGTAAGTGCCAGGGCCAAGCTGTAGATCCGTGGTTGTCTGACTCCAGAGTTCATGTGCTTTCCATTTTTGGAGGTATAAGGGTTTTGTTTGTGAAGAAGAGTCTATCTGTGCCTAGAATTCTATTAAAAAGTCAGTGATTTGACTTAAAACATTCAGCTCAATTTCATTACAGTGCTGATATTAGGGCAAAAATAAAGGCTGTAGGGCTGAAATTTTCATCGTCATCTGATCCAACCACATGCAGCTCAACTGTGTCCACAGTGTACCTGTGCTCCTGCCAGGGGTCTGCCGCATACCTGGAAGCGTGCTCAGGGGAGGAGACTCAGCTCTGCTTGTTGGTAGCTCTTAGGATCAAGCCAAAATCTCACTGTTTGTAGACATTGACATGATAGCTCTGCAGACATTTTACATTTATACTAAGATCTTCTGTGTCCTAGTGAGAAAGATATGTTATTCCCGACTATGAACTGGAGAGCATGCAGTTTTCAGAGGTTCTGATTTTCATATGTAACAAGATGGTCACAAACTTGGGGATCACACAGGTGTATTTGATTTGCCTTTTACTTTAATATTGACTGTTACATTTGAATTAATTTATTATTACCTTTTCACTAGTAATTATTACCTTTTCACTAGTAATAATCTTACTAGTTATTCCTTTTAATTAGATGTTAATGAGAGTACATAATGTTTATACCATTAAGGCTGGCTTCCTTAAGATTGCTTAATTTTCCATAATTGCTTATGGAAAAATAGACTTGTATCATGGTCTGAAGAAAAACACATATTAATATAGGCACAAATCTGGAAAAAGAATTGCCAGGAGGAAAAGTAGGCTGTGAATATGAATAATCCCCAAAGAAGAAACTGCCATGGTAGGGAGAGTGCCACGCTGGGATGTGCCAGCAGTTGATGGCAAAGATGGCAGGGTGGGAGGTTCCAAGCACAAAGTGTATGGATTGACTGGATGGAAATTCTCAAGAACTGTTCAGCGCAGGATTTGCTTTCTTCTGTTGGAGTTGAGTAGAACAAGGAGGATAGATGGGCCAGATGATCAGGTTCCCTTCCCTCCTGCACACTTACTCACCTGCATTGTGCTTGTGCTGGCACAGCTCTGGGCTACTGAGTGACTCAGTCATGGGGAGGGGGTGCCACATAGACATTGAATAAAGTTCTGCGCAGTAAGGAACATGCAATAATAACACCTCTACAAAAAGTCACAAAGTTATCATCATGATTGTCCTTAAAATGTGTCTCTATGTATTTGATTTCTTAATGCATATTCAAATTGTAAATCATCAAAGAGTGATAAATAAAATAAAAATGTGAACTTTTCTCATATCAGTCTTCTCTTCTTCACTGTTTAGGTGTCTTAATAGCCTGTTACTTAGTTTTTGCAACAAGAATGACTGCTGACCAAGCAATTATATTTGTGCGGGCAAAGCGACCCAATTCCATACAAACCAGAGGACAACTCCTCTGTGTAAGGGAATTTACTCAGTTTCTAACTCCTCTCCGCAATATATTCTCTTGCTGTGATCCCAAAGCACATGCTGTCACCTTAGCTCAATATCTAATTCGCCAGCGTCATCTGCTTCATGGTTATGAGGCACGACTTCTGAAACATGTGCCAAAAATTATCCACCTAGTTTGCAAATTGCTTCTGGACTTAGCGGAAAACAGGCCAGTGATGATGAAGGACGTGTCCGAAGGACCTGGTCTCTCTGCTGAAATAGAAAAGACCATGTCTGAGATGGTCACCATGCAGCTGGATAAAGAGTTACTGAGGAATGACAGTGATGTGTCCAACCCGCCTAACCCCACTGCAGTGGCAGCAGATTTTGACAATCGAGGCATGATTTTCTCCAATGAGCAAGAGTTTGACCCTCTTTGGAAAAGGCGGAATGTTGAGTGCCTTCAACCCCTTTCTCATCTGAAAAGGCGGCTCAGCTACAGTGACTCAGATTTAAAGAGGGCCAAGAACCTCCTGGAGGAAGGGGAGCCTCCACAGACAGTGCCTGTCCAGGTCTTGGTTGGCCACAACCCCAGGCAGCAGAAGCGCATAAGCCATTGTTACATCCCACAGTCTCCAGAACCAGACTTACATAAGGAAGCCTTGGTTCGCAGCACACTTTCTTTCTGGAGTCAGTCTAAGTTTGGAGGGCTGGAAGGGCTCAAAGATAATGGGTCACCAATTTTCCATGGACGGATCATTCCAAAGGAAGCACAGCAGAGTAGAGCTTTCTCTGCAGATGTTTCAGGCCCACACAGCCCTGGGGAACCAGTTTCACCCAACTTTGCAAATGTCCGTAAGGATCCAAACCCTACTCACCAGCAAGTGTCTCACTGTCAGTGTAAAACTCATGGTGTTGGGAGCCCTGGGTCTGTCAGGCAGAACAGCAGGACACCCCAAAGACCTCTGGACTGTGGCTGCAGTCCGAAAGCACAGTTCTTGATTGAACATGAAACCCAGGACAGTAAAGATCTGGCTGAAGCAGCTTCACACTCTACATTACAGTCTGAATTGAGTGCTGAGGCAAGAAGAATACTGGCGGCCAAAGCTCTAGCAAATTTAAATGAATCTGTAGAAAAGGAGGAACTAAAAAGGAAGGTAGAAATGTGGCAGGTATTATTAGTACTTTATTTAATTATAGATATGTTGGAAATATGTCAGGGCAAAAGTGTAATACATTTTCCCAAACTTACTTATTATAGAAATGTGAAGATACATTTGCATAATACTTAACTTTCAAACTTCAGGTTTCTCATCTCTGATGCAAACCTGATGTTTTAGAAAAAACACAGGGTGTTTGTGTGGTTTCATTTAAATCTGCATATGCAAGAAAGCACTTGGTACGATGCTTGACCCACATAAGGCATTGATATTAGTAGCTTCTTTCTTTCTTCCTGGGTCTATGGGGGCAACTGGCCCACAGCAGACAGCATTCGAAACTGACTTGAAGCATCTTTAACCTGAGATCTGGCAGAGGGAACCATACTTTGAGAACCACTGACCTACAGACATAAATAAAATAGTTATTTTCCAAAGCTCATCAACACTAGTGCTGAGCAAGGTCAGAAAAGTGAGGCTGTCTCCTTGGCATCCCCTCCTTCAGACTTGCCAATCCTGCTCTAATAGGGCAACTATGAGAAATCAGGAGAGCAAGTGGGTGGAACCACAGATTCCTACGTGCCATTCACTTTGGCTGAGATGAGGTCTTTAGGGTCCATTTCTTAGCTTTTACTTCAATTAGAATGTAAATTTTTAACCCTTTTTTGTGTTGTGCTTTTACTAGGATACAGTATAAGTCAGCCATGTTTTCTTTGCCCTGAATGAGCGAGCACCTGTTCTCGAGAAAAGATAGGCCTTATAAACCTAGCTATCAGAAACAGCTAAACTGCCCCAAAAGGAGGCTGACTTGGACTGTTGTGAATCACCAAAATCTTGACTTTTGAGACCATAACCTACTGTGAACTATTTTAATAGCTCGCTTTCATAGTCTGCCATTGATTAAACAAGGCATATACAATTTCTGAGTGCCAGTATCTCTTCAGGTGCAGAGGCATGAAAATTAAGTTTGGAGCTTCACACTAACTTACAACTATATGATGGAAGGAGAGAACTTTTGATAAAAATTTTATTCTTCAGAATTGTGTTTTGCCTATCCAATAGTTAAATGTATTGCTTTCTTCCAAAGTGACTTGTTTTATTTTCTGCTCCAAACTGAAAAAGTCTTTCATTCAGTCAGCAAATGTTTCCTGGGCATTACTGTGTGTTAAGAGTTAGCAAGCAAGAGAGTCTTCTATTTTAGATGAAAATCTCGCACCCTCACTCCTGGGTCAGCCCCAGTGGCTGTGCGAGCTCTACCTGTGGTGATGAAGTGTTCAGGACTTGGTTTGGGCCAGACTGTACGTAGAGTATATGAAAGCATTTTCTGGAGGTGAACACAGACCTTTAATCAGGATAGTTTTGTGTTTTTTTCCTTTCTAGATTTTATTTTAGGACTTTTAGTCATCAAAAAATCAGCTGAATTCTGGAAAAGAATAAAATGAACATTATTTGAATAGTATAATGCCACCCATGCCTGTACTAGACCATTTCACATATATTATTTCATGTGATTTTTCACAGTTATCATAGAACATAGCTGTGAGGCAGATGATACTGTTTCTACAGTCTTTGTTAATCTTATGAATTCAGTGTCACAGATGAGGATGTTAAAGGTCACGAAGGTTAGAGGGTAAGTGACTTGCTCAGGGTCACATGGCGTGCATGTGGCAGAGTCAGGGTACAGCTCCTGTGTTTAATACTTTCCGTTATCCCAGGATTCTTGGCTAACCTCACTGGAAAGCCTCAGGAAACATCATGATAAGATAGTCATTTTACTAAGGGTTTTTGAGTAATGTCAGTTCTGCCCAGCTTGTCTGCTTCATAAGATTGAATCAAGAGCTACTTTGTTTTATACATGATCTGTGGGATAGGAAGGACTGTGAATAACAATGTACTGGCGTATTCATAAGATAATAAAAACAAACCCAGTACCAGAGGGCCCTTGTGGTGTAACAGAAACAGCACAGACTCTGGAGTAAGACAGAACTGGGTATGAACACCCCCTTTGCCATTTTCTAGCTTTTGGCTTGTAGGTGAGTTATTTCATCTTTCTTGAACCCCAATGCATTTACCGGTGAGGAAGCTCCCTGCTGGGTGCCATTTGAGAGTTAGAGATAAGACATGCATTACAGTTTCAGTCCCACTGTGTACATGTAGTAAATATTGGATAGGTGAATGAACGAGTGAATGGTAGCAATTATTACACTTACTTCTATTGTAAAAATGTATTTGACTCACTGAAACATAAATCTGAACCCTATCAGAAATTCATTAAAATCCTTATCTCACTTTTCCTTTGCTCTCTGTGAGGTAAAGTTTTAAAATCTCATGCTTAAATTTTCTCTAAGCAATTGGAGTATCAGAAAAACTTTCCAGTTATTTTCCCTATGTCAGATTTCAGGCTTATTGTTAAATCCTACATAGGATTCTAAAAAGATATTTCAAAGAAGTACATATGCCCCATTTACCAACTTTCAAGCACCTTCATTTTATTTTTGCAGACTTCGAAGCTCAGTCAAAGCCTTTCCTTAGACCCCAGGTTAATGTATAAATGTTCCCTTATTTCTACTTTTTTGTCTACCATCTACTTTATTGCAAAAAATAGTTCTGTTTTGTTCACCAGAAGCCTGAAAAGGAAGGCTCTTCTGAACTGTTTTTGTGGTTTCTGAATAAAGTAGAGAACTTGGATTAACTAAGCCCTTTCTCTGTGCTATAAAGCTTATAAGCTTTAACCGACCTTATCTCAGTCAGTCAGCCCAACAACTTGTGAGGCAAGGGATGAGTTTCATAGAGAGAAACTGAGGCTCACATAATTCAATGTCTTAGTCCAGTGTCCAGCCTGGAAGTAGAGAGGCTGGGAGGGGTCCCAGTTCTGCACCCTAGAGCCTGAGTCTTTCGCTCTCGTGGGCAGTGCGAGAATCATGCAGTGTCAACTGGTGCACCTCTCTCTCCTCTCCCTGTCTCTGTCTCTGTTTGTCTGTCTCTTTCTCTTCCTTTTTAGAAAGAGCTTAATTCCCGAGATGGAGCTTGGGAAAGAATATGTGGCGAGAGGGACCCTTTCATCCTATGCAGCTTGATGTGGTCTTGGGTGGAGCAACTGAAGGAGCCTGTAATCACCAAAGAGGATGTGGACATGTTGGTTGACAGGCGAGCAGATGCCGCAGAAGCACTGTTTTTATTAGAGAAGGTAAAGTGGCTGTAGGACCAGTTAATGACTGTAACTGAGGCCCTTAATTTTTCACGCAGAAAAAAAAATCCATTATAAAAAAGGGAATTCATACAGAACCCCAAATCTAAGTCTAATTTAATAGTTTTTCTAAGAGAAGAGAAGAAACTGTTACCCAGTGTAAACGCTTAGAAAATACAAAAATAAAAAATAAAAAGGGGAACTATCTGTAGTCCTGGGAGAGGCACTGCAAACATTTTCAAATCTTTTAAACTTATCAATATGTGTATTAACTTGTTAAAAATCATTTTAACATGTAAGTTTGTTTCATTTTTGCTTAAAGTTATAGCTGTTTTCCCGCAAATAACACAAGCTTTTCATAAATATTGACTGTAACAGATATGATGCTGTAACACGAGACTGTGCCATAATTAACCACTTTTTCATTGTTGGGTGTTTGTTTCTACTTATTTGCTGTGAGCATGCATATGAGAAAAATTATGAAGTAGGTTGGGATATGCACTCATTCGTATTTTTAAAAAGGGGTAGGTGTCACACATACATGTATATGTAATTTGTATGTGTAAAATATAGATGTTTTCTATATTTTATGTATAAAAGATATATGTTTAAAATGGAGAAAATATGTATATATGTATAAAATATAGAAGGAGAAATAAGAAACTGGTAATAGTGATTACCTTTAGGAAAAGATATTAGAAGACAATGGATCTAGGAAACAGGAGAAATTGTATGAATCCTTTTATACAATTTATCATTTTTATCCATACAGTGATACTAAATTTTCAGTTTAAAATAGGCTTTGTTTTTGTTTTGGTTTGGTTTTTTTTGAGACAGTTTCGCTCTTGTTGCCCAGGCTGGAGTGCAATGGCACGATTTCAGCTCACCGCAACCTCTGCCCCCTCGGTTCAAGTGATTCTCCCGCCTAGCCTCCTGAGTAGCTGGGATTACAGGCATGCACCACCATGCCCGGCTAATTTTGTAATTTTAGTAGACAGGATTTCTCCATGTTGGTCAGACTGGTCTCAAACTCCCAACCTCATGTGATCCGCCCACCTCGGCCTCCCAGAGTGCTGAGATTACAGGCGTGAGCCACCGTACCAGGCCTGTTTTTGTTTTAAGAAACAATGTTATCGAATAACCAACCTTGAGTTACCTACTATGCTGCATGTAAACATCTCCTCAGTTTCTAAATTTCACTAAAAATCTTCTCCTGTTACTACACAGACACACACACACACACGGACACATTTGGATGGATGCACACAGACATACAGATACATGCGCTCACACACACGTACACAGATACAACACACAACACACAGACATGTGTGTGCCTGCACACACAGACACTCACACACCACAGTTACCCAATACATATCTTTTAAGAAATAATTTTTCCTGTATCTGAAGTCCTTTTCTTAGGATATTTTCTCAGCAATTAAATCACAAACATAAAACAGGAGATGATGAGAAGGGAGATTAATGTTTGGTAGGTGACTGGGCCAAGCCCTTCAGGACATAATTTGCATTTTCTCTTCTGTTTATCTCAATACCCCTTAGAGGTAGAGGCCCGTTTCACAGACAAAGAAAGGGGAGGTTGCATGCCCAAGGTTGGCACCACATGTCAGAGCAGAATTCAAGCTCAGACCACTCTGGCACAAAGCCCGTGTGCTTTCTATTACATAAGGCTGCCTGTTTTATCCTATTTCACCCTCACCCCATGTATAGGGCATTTATATTGCTTCAGGTTTTTTACTTTCATAGGCATCATTGTAATGATAATTTGTGCTTGCAGGTTTTTCTTTATTATAGATTATGCTCTTGTAGGTTTTCAGAATTGAAATGAGTGGGTCTCTGTACATTACATCTTGGATATGTATTGCTGAAGGTGATGGAATTTCTCCTTTGCTAAGGTGAACAGCCCCCAGGAGTGAAGTCAGTGGGCACATTTTTAAGTATCTTACCCCCTTAGGTTGGAGGCTAAGCACTTAAGCACTGCATTGCTCCTGGGGGACTGGGGTTGCCCTTGTCCTTTTCTTTGTCTACCCGCCTCCCTCCATATCATCTGTAGTGGCTGGGTACCCAGATCCTGACCACTCAGTGCCCAGTTAGTTAGTCCATGTATCTCTATGACATGTCGCCATCTACTAGACAACTGACATGATTATATCCAGAAACAACAAGAATGGGAAAATCTATTCAACTCACGGCAAGAGAAACACTTGGTTTAAAATTGCACTGATCTTCAAATTTAGTTTTACTTTGTGCAATAGCTAGCCAGCTTTGATATTATCTCCTGAAAACTTTTCAAATTATATTAACACATAACAATAAACATTTGTTGATGTTTAGATATTTTGTTAGATATTTTGGCATTTGACATTACGAGTACTTGGTCACAAACCAATTCTTGACTCTAAGATAGTTTTGAATCGATTTATTGAGGCATTTTTTGAATACATTTTTAAAATTTTGATTTCTACAAAAACAGGGACAGCACCAGACTATTCTCTGTGTGTTGCACTGCATAGTGAACCTGCAGACAATTCCCGTGGATGTGGAGGAAGCTTTCCTTGCCCATGCCATTAAGGCGTTCACTAAGGTGGGTCACACTCTTCTTTCCCCTCTCTGAACCACAGATCAGCATCATCTTTGTAAATCAGAATCCAGAGGTCACCATCCTCCTCTAAAATAAAACATGTATGTGTACATTTTCCTTTCATGGAAATCTGTTTGACATTTCTTCTAAGTAGTTGCAGAGTTTTAACCAAAAAAAAAGTTTCCAAACAATGATCTTAGGAAAAACTGAACTGTGGGTTTTTTGAAGGAGAATGTTGGAACAAAGAGCTTTTATATAAAAGAAAGAGAGAAACAACTGAGTATTGAATACATATTTTTAGATCATGTGCCTAATCAGAGTCAGAGAATCTTTGCTTGTCGAGCCAGTTCTACCTTGGGTTTAAGTAAGAAACCATTTATTGAAAAGTAAACATCCCACATTGCTGATTCAGTACTGAGTCCTGGTTGGCAAATCCTAAGGAAAGAGTTAAAAAAAAAAAAAAAAAAAACAGGTTTTATTTCTAAAAGCCCATCCTTTTGGATGCAGCAGTTTTTCCTGGCTGAAGAAAGAAGAAGAATCCAGGTTCTTACCGAGAGAAAAGTTTCCCCTTACCCCATCAACTATAATTTGTTTATTACTTCTCATTGATATGAAAGTATCTATAATTTGTTTGTTACGTCTCATTGATATGAAAGTGTCGTTAAAGAACCCAGCTTTTGAATGACAACATCTGTGGTAACATTAATAAGTTATTATTTATACTCATTCACAAGTTGTGAAGATTCTTCCTTTTTAATATTTGTCCAGTCTGCTTCCCCTCCACTCTTTCCAGAGTGATGTTCTTACTTCAGGCCTTCCTTTTTCCTCATCTGGATTCTATGGCACTAACCACTGACATCTTTTCAATCTGTTCTCAACTGTTTCCAGAGTCAGTAGTCTCAAATCTAAACCACATGGTCCTTTACATCTGTATTTATATTTTCATAGACTGAAAGGCTACCCACCATGTGAAGAAGGTTGTAGTTTGGTGTTTAAGAAAGTAAACAGAGCCGGGAGTGGTGGCTCATGCCTGTAATCCCAGCACTTTGGGAGGCTGAGGTGAGCAGATTATGAGATCAGGAGATCGAGACCATCCTGGCCAACATGGTGAAACCCCATCTCTACTAAAATACAACAATTTAGCTGGGTGTGGTGGTGGGCGCCCGTAGAATGTTCAAGAATGGCTTGAACCCGAGAGGCGGAGGTTGCAGTGAGCCAAAATCGCGCCACTGCACTCCAGCCTGGCAACAGAGTGAGACTCCATCTCAAAAAAAAAAAGGTAAACAATTCAGACCATTGGTAATATTAATAAGGAGTTTTTTTGCAAATAGGATATACAGTGTAGCTATAGATAAAATTAAATTCCTGAGCTTGACTGAAAAAAAATCTTAAGATTGATCTCTCTGAAAGCAGTAGGAATTCTTTACAACTTCTGTTGGCCTTTTAAGGGGATATGAAGGAAAAGTTAGAGATAGCAATTGTTCAAAATCCGTCTATAGAAAATGTTAGGAGACAGTTTTCCTTGGGTCTCTCATGTCTCTTCATAGTCTGATGAGCAGATGCCCTGACCACTCTCTTTGGGGATCAACTCTTCACTAGTGTCTGGAGAGCTCTGCCTGGAGAACAGAAGGCACACGTTCTGACTTCCTGGATAATAAAAATGTTTCCCTTCAGGGCAAAGGTTGGCAGAATTTTTTGCAGCCCCCTTGTGAAACATTGGAGTTTCCTAAGCTTGGGGCTCCTCAGCTATGAGGCAAACCCCGTGCTTGTGCAGCCTCCACCTAGGCCCCTCTGCATTGCCCCCATGAGACTTGGGAGACAAAGAGAACCCATGTGAACATGAAGCACGTGCAGCTATGAGAAATAAAAGTTGTCTGTCTCTGACCCAGAAATCTCGTATCTTCTACCAGTGTCCGTAACACTGACAAGCTAACAGGTTAAAGTCAGATCCTTTACAGTTGTTGACAGAGGGAACAACCTTCCATTTTCAAAATTTATCAGAGAAGTTCCAGAAGGAGAGAAGCAGTGATTGTGTGACCCTGATTCTTTCCCAGGGAGTCACACACTATTCTGGGAAGGGGACTGAGGGTGGGTACTTGCTCTGGTTCTCAGTTCTGCCATCACTCCTAACCCAGAGTATCGTAAACTTGGGTGAAAAAATGCAAATATGTGTAAATAGTGCTCTCCCATCAAGGGGAAAGGAAATTTACCTTTATCAAGGTGGGGTTTGTTTGTTTGTTTGTTTGTTTTTTGAGACAGGGTCTCACTCTGTCACCCAGTCTGGAGTGCAATGGCACAATCTCAGCTCACTGCATCCTCTGCCTCCTGGGCTCACGCATTTCTCCCACCTCAGCCTCCCAAGTAGCTGGGACAACAGGCACGTGCCACCATGCCTGGCTAATTTTTTTTAATTTTTTGTAGAGATGAGGTTTTGCTCTATTGCCCAGGCTGGTCTCGAACTCCTGGGCTCAAGCGACCCTCCCACCTCCACCTCCCAAAGTGCTGGGATTACAGGCGTGAGCCACCACGCCTGACCAGTTGAGGTTTGTACATATGTGCCAAACATATGTTAGACTCACAGATACACTATCCTATGAAGGTGGGTATTATTATCTCTGTTTTACAAAGGAGGAGATCGAGGTCCAGAGAGGTTGGGTATGAGATGAGGGCACATAGCTAGCAGGTGGGGAGCTGGGCTTCTATTCACGTCACTCTGATTTTGTCCAGAGTGGCCACAGGGCCTCTCAGCAGGACGTATACAGCTGATGTGCTGTTTTAATACAGGAAACTTTTCCCTTATACCATCAATAATAGTCTCAAAAAATTCACTTCACACCCACTGTTGACTTGCTTCATGTCTGGGTGTGTATAATGAGACTAAATATCCAGGCACTAGATTTAATTTTGGGGTTTTCATTCATAAGTTTGGTATTGACATGGTTGGCAGTTCTAATATAGTCTTTCAACTAAAATGTGTGAAATTTATTATGTGTATTTTATATAGAGTTTTGTTCGTAAGTCTGTTTTTTTCTCCACCCCCTCCTTCTCTCAAAATAGGAACTAGTTAAAATTCTTGTTACAGTGTCCTGAATATAAATTTCTTTATCACCAGGTTAATTTTGATTCTGAAAATGGACCAATAGTTTACAACACCCTGAAGAAAATATTTAAGCACACGCTGGAAGAAAAAAGAAAAATGACAAAAGATGGCCCTAAGCCTGGCCTCTAGCTTTCCCTCGTGGTGAATATTTCAGACCTAAAGATCCAGATAGTATCTCTGTTCATATGTGAATAAGTCGAAGTTTGTGGGGCTACTTTTTCTCATAGCACTTTATTTTGAATGTTGTTGATTTGTGCTGAGAATGGTCGTCCCTATTTGAACCAATTATTTATTTTTAAATATCCTTGAGCTACATTTTTGTTTTGAAAAATTGCCATAAATTTGGTGCCACTTTCTTTATTTGACTGAGTTAATATTATTGCATTAACATTTTAAGTATATGGTGTTTACATTCTTATTCCTTTTGACGTTTTGGAAATAATCATAACTTGTCTTTCCAAAATAACCATTTTCTTGATGGAACTCTTCCTCGAGTTTTTACCAAATAGCTAACTTCAGTAGTAAAACCTCCTTGTGTGTCCATTCCCCCACAAATGAACTAAGAAAGTCACCAAGTGTCTTAAGCTGTTTTATATTTGTTACGAAGAAGGCTATTGCTATAATATTTTTAAAGGGTCTTTTTTAACTTTGAAATTTTTTGTTTTTCCTTTTCTTTTTATAAATGTAACAGAGGGTTTCAAAGCATAATATTTTTCAGAGAGATTTAGTTTTACTTTAATGGAGTGACCGTGAAGTGGTTGGGATTTTTTACTTGTAGAAAGTAGACTTGCTCTTTGTCAGATTTCCAAACAACCTTGCCAGCCTTGGCTGTCAAAAGGAGGCAGGAGCAGTTCTCAACACACCAAGCCTTATTCCCACTCCCTTGGGTTGCTGCTAAGCCAAATAGCATCTTTACAAAAAGGAAGTGGGATCAGAGGCAGGAAGTGTGGGAAGTTGCTAAGAAGCAGGGCTTGCCTCTGTCCTCCCAGGGACTCCACAGGGACATTTGTGCAGGGCAGGGGCTCTGTGCCAGCCCTACTCTGTGAGGTGCCACAGCCACTCTGCAGAGGTGACTCTTGGAGCTGGAGGAAGTCAAGACTGGGCCACTGTTTGTGCTGATGGTGTATTAGCATGAGCAGTGTGGCCCTGGCCCCACACTCCCAAATCTGCCACTCCGTAAACCCACTTGCCTCAAGGTTCGATACTTGGCTGCTTTCTTACAATGAGAATTAAGATTTTTAAACTGAAGTTGACCATACAGGTTGCATTAGCCCTAACTGGCTTCATGTAAGAAGGGTGGCTGCCTAGACTAGTTCCTTGTAAGCTGAACCATCAATTAGCAATTGAAGCCATACTTTTATTTAAATTAATATGTGGAGATACCAGAGGCCAAGCCACAGAGAGGATAATAGTTTTTCCCAGTAAAGGTGATATTAATCAGACTAATTTCAAACTAAAGAAGTTACTACCTAAAGACAGAATTCAGGGGAAGCAAGACTCATTTAGAACAAATGAAATTTCTCCAGTCCTACATTTCTGAATTAACCTCTAGCACATCAAAAATATTTCAGTCATTATCAGTCTCACTAACTCTAATGCCAAATGCTAAATGCAGCGTTCTTTCACACTGTTTTAATTTTCTTGGGAAATCAAGTCCAATGGATGTTAATTAAGTGGGTTGCCCATCCTCTTTATGACGGCATTAAGAGAGCACTGTGCTGTCAAGTGCCTGGCCTGGGAAAGAAGGGGAAGAAACAATTGCATTTTATCCAAAGGTACACTATAAAAATACAGTTTTTACAAAAAAAAAAAAGATGTTTGTTCTCATCTCAGTTGGCCTCATTTGGGCAAGTGACCCACAGGTCTTTTGGCGAGTTCGCTATTTGCCTGTTGAAATACTTGTTTCAACTTAGAGAACAGTTATGATGTGACCTTAGCATTGCACGACTAAAATTCTAAGCCTGAAACTTGAAAAAAGAGATATGACAAGGGAAATTAATCAGGCTATATATAAGTATTGTATTTATTTGAATAAAAGCAAAAAGAACAACCCATAATCCTAGTCTTGTACTTCTTTACCTTGATGCTCTAGGACATCTGATGATAAAGACAAGGTTTTGCTCTTAGATTTTCCTGACAGGCAGATTGAGTTGTCGGCTGAGTCACTGAGCCAAGCTCTAGTTAGTGCAGACTCCTTCCGTCAGTTCAGCATGACCAAACACTGGGGGGCTGGGATAGGTGAGTTCTAAGAGGAATAGCTGAGGAAAATCTCCAAGCCGACAAGATTCCTACTTTCCCATATTTGGATGAGGAGTTCTTTGTAGCCCAGAGGACAGAAATCTCACCTATTGGGAGAAGTGATAAGGTTGAAAAATTCAGTTCAACAGAAATAGGAAGGTTAAGGGCACACACATATTAAGAACTTACCATGGGCCAGCCGTATCCGTTACCTCGCTGAATTATCTTAACAGAGAGAAGTCTTTTTTATTTCATTTATTTATATTTATTTATTTTTTTGAGATGGGGGGTCTTACTCTGTAGCCCAAGCTGGAATGCAGTGGCATGATCTTAGCTCACTGCAACCTCCGCTCCCAGCCTCAAGCCATCCTCCCACCTCAGCTTCCTGAGTAGCTGGGACTACAGGCACACGCCATCACATCCGGCTAATTTTTTTTTTTTTTTTTTTTTTTTTTTTTTGTAGAGATAGGGTTTTGCCATGTTACCCAGGCTTGTCTTGAACTCCTGAGCTCAAGTGATCCTCCCACCTTGGCCTCCCAGAGTCCTGGGATTACAGGTGTGAGCCACCGCACCTGGCCTGAGAAGTCTTAATCATAACTGTATGACGTGAGATGTGGAGTCTGATGGACCCCGTGCTGTGCCCTCCTCTCTGCTCATGTTAACTGCCTATGGGACTCTTAACCTGGCAAAGCTGCCCAGTCAAAGTGCCTTCTCAGGGACCTTGAGGTCCCTTTAGCACTAAATGTTATGATGGCATTAAGAGAGCACTGTGCTGTCCATAACTTAGTAAAAATATTACACATCTGTCCTCTGGAAAAGGCTGAACCAGCTCTATTACTATCATATGATGCTCTCTAGTATATCACACTTAGAGGAAGTACATGATTTCTTGCCACTATTGCCTTTTCTTACTTCAGAGAGCTTAATAATGCCCTTTGAGACAAATTGCTGCTGGTGGTAGAGCTCGCTTCATTTATTTATGTAACTCAGAAAATCTGTGCTGAGTTACTTAGTCATATCTTCAACCAGCTTCCCAGCTTCGTCACTCTGGATTCCATGAAAACCACCATATATCAGAATTCAATAGAGATAAAGTTTCTCTATTTTCTCTTAAATGGAGAATGCTTGCTGATATGATTGGGTGCTATTTCAGGCCAGTCTCCAGATGTCTGAAAAAATATCCAGGGACAATATAATGTAGATTGAGTGCAAGCCCCAAGTTCTTGACATCTAACAGCTCCCATGTAATTGGGGGGTCCATTTAAAAATGACAGCTTACTCATAGGATCTTTATTATTGTTCCAAATTAACAAGCATTAGTATATTTTCAGTGCAGGTAAATCAAGAACAACATTCTCTTTGATGCTTTTTGTGAATGGCACAAGATTAGCATGTTACCTAAGAGAGCTTTTCTCAATGCTAGATGGCTGCAAATTGTTTATAGATAAAGTAGCAGGAGAAAAATTCAACAAAATCCTGTTTCTCAGTGATGCATTATTTTTTTAGTTATGCTTTTAGGCATGAGCTAATCTCTGATTACCTCAACACTGACAATAAAACTGATTTATAAGTAATCACAATGGAGCCATTCAGTGTTGGAGCTTGACAAGCCTTTGTTCAAAGCTTGTCACTAAAAATAATGTCCCAATAAGACTTAAATGTCATAAAACCTTTTGCAATGAAAATAAAAGTTTCATACATCCACTGAAACTTATACAGTAAGAGAAGCCTGCTAAGCCCTTGCCTCTCGGCTTTCTTCATTAAAATGAAAAGATATTTTACTCTTGAGATTGCCTATTTTAGAGAAAAATTACATTTTGAAGATGGGTTCCTACTTACCTGATCTTTAGAAAGCAGTCTGACAGTAGCCTCTGGTTTTGATTTAATGAGTTGCTTTATCATTTTTTTTTCTCCTCTTAAAAATGAAAACAGACCAGGCATGGTGGCTATAATCTTAGTACTTTGGGAGCCGAGCCAGGCAGATCACAAGGTCAGGAGTTTGAGACCAGCCTGGCCAATAGGGTGAAACCCTGTCTGTACTAAAAATACCAATTTAGCCAGGCATGGTGGTGGACACCTGTAGTCCCAGCTACTTGGGAGGCTGAGGCAGGAGAATCGCTTGAACCTGGGAGGCAGAGGTTGCAGTGAGCCGAGATCATGCCACTGCACTCCAGCCTGGGCAACAAAGCGAGACTCTGTCTCCAAAAAAAAAAAAAAAAAAAAAAGAAAAGAAAAGAAAACAAACTACTGAGACTTTTGATTTAGGCTGAACCACAGGGAGTGGCCAATTTTTGGTAAAAAATGATCAAGTACTGGCCATTTCATGTGGTTCAACCTAATATCAAACTCAGTATTTCCAGGACTAATAGGTGACATTCCCTGAATTAATTTTGGTAGGTTTAGATTAGGTGATCAGTTATTTTCTAAGACTCTCCTGTGTGCTCACAGTAGAGTTCCAGTACAACTGTAAGCAACAAATATGAAACATATTCTTTCAGCAACATGTCTGTGCCTATTGTGCTTGGCCCTCTGCTAATTCTGGGGACACACAGGAATTATGTATTCAGTCATTCATCCCTCTAGGAGTCATGTTGCCTATCCCTCAAAATTCATGTGTTGGAAACTTCATTCCCAATGCAACAGAGTAGGAAGGTGCAGCCTTTTAGGAGGTGTGTAGGTCATGAGCGCTCCACCCTCATGAATGAGCTAATATTATTAGTAAAAGACCTGATGGAGGGAATTCTTTTTTTGCTCTTCCACTTTGTCATGTGAGGACACAGCATGCTCCCCTTCAGATGGCGCAGCATGTAAGGCACCATGTTGGAAGCAGAGAGCAGCCCTCACCAGATGGCAGTGCCTTGATCTTGGCCTATCCAGCCTCCAGAACTGTGAGAATAAATGTCTGTAAGTTGCCCAGCCTGTGCTATTCTATTATAGCAGCACAAAATGGACTAAGACCGTGATTGGTACCAGGGGAGTGGGGTGTTGCTAAAACAAATATCTAAAAATGTAGAAGCGGCTTTGGAACTGGGTAATGGGTTGAGGCTAGAAGAGTTGTGAAATGAAAGCAGGAAAAAGCTTGTATTGCCATGAGTGGAGCATTAAGGGTGATTCTGGTGAGGGCTCAGAAGAAGAGGAGAGCTGTGGGGAAATTCTCACTCATTCTCCTGAGAAACTGCGTGAGTGGTTTTGAACTGAATGCTGATAAAAATATGGACTGTAAAGACCATTCTGATTAGGTCATAGACAGAAATGAAGAATATCACTGGAAACTGGGGAAAAGGAAACTTGTTACAAAGTGGCAAAGAACGTGGCTGAATTATGTCCATGTCTGTATCCTAGGACCTTGTAAGGGGCAGAACTTAGGAGCAATGAACTAGAATATTTGGCAGAAGAAATTTCTAAGCAGGAAAGTGTGCAGGATGCTGTGTGGTTTCTCTTAACTGCTTATGTTAAAATGTTAAAATGAGAGAAGAGAAATTATTTAAAGACAGAATTTATAATTCAAAGGGAAGCAGAACATCAAGATTTGGACAATTCTTAGTCCAGCCATGTAAAGAAAAAGATTTAGACAATTCTCAGCCCAGCCACGTAAAGAATAAAAAAGTATGTAGGCCGGTTGTGATGGCTCATGCCTGTAATCCCAGCATTTTGGGAGGTTGAGGCGAGTGGATCACTTGAGGTCAGGAGTTCGAGACCAGACTGGCCAACATGGTGAAACACTGTCTCTACTAAAAATTACAAGTTAGCTGGGCGTGGTGGCAGGCGCCTGTAATCCCAGCTATTTGGGAGCCTGAGGTAGGAGAATCACTTGAACCCGGGAGGCAGAGGTTGCAGTGAGCTGGGTTGGCACCACTGCACTCCAGCCTGAGTGACAGAGTGAGACTCCGTCTCAAAAAAAAAAAAGGAAAAAAAAGGAGTTTTAGGCCAGGCATGGTAGCTCATGCCTGTAATTCCAGCACTTTGGAAGGCCGAGGTGGGTAAATCACTTGAGATCAGGAGTTCGAGACCAACCTGGCCAACATGGTGAAACCCCATTTCTACTAAAACTACAAAAAAAAAAAAAAATTAGCCAGACATTGTGGCAAGCACCTGTAATCCTAGCTTCTCGGGAAGCTGAGGCAGGAGAATTACTTGAACCCAGGAGGTGGCATCTGCAGTGAGCCGAGATCGCGTCACTGCACTCCAGCCTGGACAACAGAACGAGACTTTGTCTCGAAAAAAAAAAAGTGTGTTTAGAAGATAGCACACAGGGTGTGGCCAGGCCACCATTTGATGAGATTAGTATGGATACAAGAAAGCCATGTGCCATTTATCAAGACAATGGGAGAATGACCCCAAAGGTATTATGGACATCTCGGGACAAGGGGAGGGGGCAACCATGCCCATCAAAAGCCCAGAGTGCTAGGGTCTTGGGGACAGATGGATTTTGAGGATGGGCCCAGGGTGCCCATGGGACCTGTGTGCTCACTGCTGAGGGCCACCTTGGATCTGCACCTGCACTCTGGCACAGTGCTCCTTGGCCACCCCACCTCTGATTCAAGCAGGCCCAGGTCCAGGTAGGACCACTGCTTTGGAGGGTGCAAGCAGTGAGCCTTGGTACATCCACGTGGTGCTTAATTCCACAGGTGTGCAGAGTGCAAGAGCTGTGGAGGCATGGCTTCCTTCACCTAGATTTCAAGGAATGCCTCAGTGGGCCCAGGCAGAGAACTCCTGCAAAGACCAAGTCTCTGCAGAGAGCCCCCACTAGGGCAGTGCCTAGTGGAGTCATAAGAGTGGGGCTGCCCCAGAAACCCCAGAAGTGTAGAAGCACCAGCATAGAGTGCCAGTCTGGGAAAGCTGCGGGCAGGTTATTTCAGTGCATGGGAGCTGCAGCATGGGCTATACCCAGCAAAGCCATGTGGGTGGGCCTGTCTGAGGCCATGGGGACCTAACTTCCACCCCAGTGTACCTGGAAGGTGGGATATGGAGTCAAAGATTATTCTCATGCTTCAAGATTTAATATTGGGCTGGGCACAGTGGCTTGTGCCTGTAATCCCAACCCACTGGGAAGCCCAGGAGGGAGGATTGCTTGAGGCAGAAGTTTGAAACCAGCCTGGACAATGTAGTGAGACCCCATCTCTACAAAAATAAAAAAAAATAAGCTCAGCAGAATGGCACAGACATGTAGTCCTAGCTACAGGAGAGGCTAAGGCAGGAAGAGTGTTTGAGCCCAGAAGTTCGTGGTTGCAGCAAGCTATGATCGTACACACACTGCTCTCCAGCCTGGGTGACAGAGCAAGACACTGTCTCAAAAAAAAAATTGAAATTAAAAAAAAAAAGATTTAATGTTTGTCCTGTTAGGTTTTGGACTTATGTGGGACCTCTTACTCCCTTCTTTTCTGTTGCTCTCTTTTGAAATGGGAATGTCTGTCCTCTGACTGTTCCACCATTGTATTTTAGAAGTATATAACTTGTTTGATTTCACAGGCTCACAGCGGGAGAGCAATTTGCCTCAGAATGACTCTTACTTTGAGTCTCATCCATATCTGATTTAGATGGGACCCTGTACTTTAGCTTTGAATTGTTACTGGAACAAATTAAGACTTTAGGGGCAATGGGATGGAATGAATGTATTTTACATATAAGAAAGATACAAATTTGGGAGGTCAAAGGTGGAATGTTACAATCTGAATATGTACCCCAAAATGTGTAGTGTTAGGGAGGTGTGGCCTTTCGGGAGGTATTTAGTTCATGGGGCCTGTAGCCTCATATATTGATTAATGCTATTATAAAAGGGCTTGACAGAGAAAGTGTGGTCTTTTTTCGTCCTTCCATTTTCTGTCATGTAAGGACACAGCATTCCTCCGCTCTGGAGGATGCCGCATTCAAGGCACCATTTTGGAAGCAGCTAGCAAACTTCATTAAATGCTGGCATCTTGGATCTTGGCCTTCACACCCTCTAGAACTGTGAGAAATGAATTTCTGTTGTTTATAAGCTACCCAGTCTGAGATATTCTGTTATAGCAGCACAGGCAGACTAAGACACAAGTATGGTGCACATCCATACCTACAGCAGCGCTTGTCCATGACATTTTCTGTACCTCTGTTGTCACCCTAATTAGTTTGGCATTACCTACCATCTAGATACCTCCTTCAGTCCACACTTTCATTCCTTATATA